TATTTGCTACCTGTTTGAGAAGAACAGAAATGTCTGTTGTTCATGAACATTTTTTATTTTCTTATATTCCCTAAGGAATGCCAGGATTTTTTTAGTCTTGAAAAATTAATGGAACATATTTCAAATTACATCCTGGCAGACACTCTTTCTATACCTCAGTTTGGCTACATTATGTGTTTTATTTGCCTGCCTCTAATTGTTTTTGCTGCAAAACTGCTGTGTAGCACATGTCTTCAGAATGGATGCCTTGGTAATTCTGCATAAAAGGAAAACAAATGGGATGAAGTATCTGTGAGGATTGAGCGGAGTTGGCTACTCTGAGTACCAGGGTTGGTCTGGATAATGGGATGTGTCAGAGCCAAATCAACGAAGGGTCTGCCAGTATTTTATATACAAGAACTTGCTTTTAGAGATTTACAGAGTAAGCAAAGAGTAAACATTTTCTCTCTTGGACCTACTGCTTTTCTCTCTGCAGAGGGATTAGAAAGAAAAGAGGGATCATTTTAAGAAAAATAACCTTAGAGCTCCATTTCCTCCCCCACAAAAGACCTGGAATTAAGAACTTACTGCAGCAAATGATGTATTTTTACGTATTATTTGGTGTTCTAAACTTCTTCTGATATCAGGACTTTTCATGAGATAGGCCAGCAAATGAAAACTCATGGATGAGAGAATACCTGTAGTGTATAACGTTTGGTTTTGTTCCAGAAGACCTTTGAACATTGACAACATGGTATTTTGATAAACAATAAGACTTTACATAAACATAAAACCTTTGTCTCAAAATAGGTAAAATATGTTTGTTTTCCCTTTCTAAAGAGACCAAATGCCATGGACTCCACATTATGATTTGAGTGACTTGGCCCAAAAGAACTGGAGAAGAATGTAAGTGGAAATTATGGGCTCAAAAATTTAATGGAAGTGAAGCTACATCTTACCCAATTTGCCCACTTGAGCAGAGTAGCACGTGTTGATCTGATGTTCACTGAGATGAGTTCTCTTGAGTTCTCTAACAAAAAAAGGGGTTCTTACTGTGTTGAGGAGCACTGTGTACAGCTAATTCTTTTGCAACCACAGACTGTAGTACTTCAAATAATACGTTTGTGCCAAGCAGTGGCAAACCAATTGTGATATACATATAATACTTCAGCTGGATGTAATTTACTCTCTTCTCATGTAAATCTAACACCTGCTGCTCCATAACAGGAGAGCTTTTATCCTGCATGTTGTACCTGTGAGTGTTCTACGAGCCCTGTTAAACCTTCTGTGTGTGAAAGAGCAGCACCTCCCATTTGCCTTGGTTCATAACTGCTGTACTGGACACAGAGAATGAACAGAGCTGCTCAAGAGCTTCCTGAGACCAACCATCCTATACTACTCTTTTTACTTCCTTGAATAATTTTGACAAGAAGCCAGGGGGAAAAATCACATTGCAGTCAAGTTCAGAGTTTATTCCAGGTCAAAATAAAAGACCACAAAAACAGGAAAAATAAGTGTTCCAATAAACATGTTTTGCCTAGAGTTTTTTGGGTTGGTTTTTTTTGTTGTTGTTTTGTTTTTTTAATTTTTTTCTTAATTTCACAGAACAGGGTGAGTGATCAGTAGCTAATACCAGTGTAAGATTCATGTGATTAAACTCTAGTGCACTGAGCTATCACATATGCACCCTCTAAAGATTACCAAAATGAATCTTCAAACACAGAAGTACACCAAATGAAATCATGAACACTAAATTATTCAGCAACAAATAGAAGATGTTGACTTAAAAATCCTAAAGGATCATGAGCACCACAACATCCAGCTCAGGGAAGTCTCAAAAACATGATTCATCAGGAAAACAGACAGTCATGCACACAAATTTATCAATAGAAACAAGATGTGAATCACAACTAAGGAAACATCCCAGCAGATCACCCTACTTTCTTAAAAAATATCCAGTAAGTTTGTGGTTGTGTTTTTGCTCTGTTCTGAAGTTACAATTTTCAAATCCAGACTTTTTCTCTTTGGGGATGTATTGTTGCTCTTCAACTAACTCGACTTTACAAGGTGGTTAGGCTAATGTATATGCCCAGGCAGTTGTACCAGCTCTTACATGATGTAATCTAAGTCAGGTATAATTATTATTTACTGGAGAATAAAAGACCAACTGCTTTTTCTACGTCTGTCTTCTGAGGCTTCTGTATGAGGCTCTTGCAAGGCTTGGCCAAACAGCTGTAAAACCAGGTTTGTGCCCTGCCTCCCTTGTTGGGTGAAGGAGTTCCTTTGCCAAATAAATAGGTGAATTAAATAGATCTTGATACTTAGGGAATAGTGAGCAGAAAAGTTGATGCATGGGCTTGTAATGGAATTTACAGAGATGGGGTATACAACTTTTGCACAAACATGCTTGGTTCCATGTCCACCCAAAAGTGCTCTTGAAAGGAGATGGGTTTTATTCCACATAATTTCTCATTTCCAGCAAGGGTTGGGAGCAGTTCAGAGTTTGCAGAGTTCATGTCTCCTGTGAACATGTATCTCAAAATTCTAGGTGTCCCCAAAGAACACAGAACAAAGAACACGACAAAGGTCGAGAAATGAGAAGCTGCATGAGTCAGACTGGGTTTTTTTCAACACAGTTTTGGATTTTTGTGCCTCAGATCCAGCTGCATTCTCTTTGAGCCCTTCTTTGAACTGACTCCAGCCATCTTCTGAAGCGTCTGTAATTATGTCAGCTGAGACCCGAAGTATTGACAGAAGCTTCTGCAAAATCAGAAAGGAGGAATCTCAACACTGATGTGGAACAACTTCTGGTCCCAAAAGGGACAATTCCCCATGGCCCTGTGCTGCTAATAATTGTTGCCTCTTGCTGGACTTAGTAATTGTGCAGGCACATCAAGCACTGGCACCATTTGTTAATCTGATTTAGGGAACATGCAGAGGAAAAAAGGTTGGATTTTTGTGCATCTGCAAACCCACTGCATGGCTCCACAGTCATTGGCTTTGGTTGTGTGGGTGGAAAAGGCAGGAACACACAGCCAAGGGCAGGTCAGTAAGATGACTGTAAATCAGTTTACACCAAACATGAAGCCATACCCCAAGTACTTGTTCAACAGATCATTTGAAAGATACCTCAGGTGTGTCTACACGAGTCCCAGTCACTACAGCCCAAGTGCATTGGCCCACAAGAACATGAACGTGCATGAGACTTGCAACAGAAAGCTGCAGGATAGGACTCAATGAGATTGAGAAATGGGAAGTCTCTGGTAGGTGGCAGGGTCCAAAGGCTCTGGCAGCAGTTGTGATTGCCATAAATCGGGATGGGAACGTGACAACTAGTTGAGCATTCAGGGAGAAGGGAGAGAGACGGGAAAAAATGTTTCAGCAACATTGATGGGCAGGAAGCCAAAAGCAGAGAATGATTGCATGTGTGCTTGGCATTGGCTCTCCTGGAAGAAGGAGTGGACAAAAGAGAAAGAAGGAAGGAAAGAAAACATCAGCAAGGAAACTGAAAGCAAGAGAGGGGTTGCTTGGACCAGCTGTACTCTACAAATGTCCTCACTAGCAGGCATAGTCTACGCTAGCTCAAATTAGTTGCACAATCCAATCTCTGTCACGCGGCTTAAATGTTCCTGGAACTTTAAACCACATTTTTATTTGATAATTCCAGGTCCTTGGGAACTTTCTAAAAGCAGCTAGAAGTCCTCTTATTTCACAGGGAAACAAACAGGCAGAAAAGCAAAAAAAGCCCAACATTAACACAGGATATTCCCCACCCTGTCATTAAAAGATCCACTTCCCTTTTTCTAGAATGAGTGTCTAAAAAGCAGATGAACTCTTGCAAAACTCTTTGAGGAGCTAAGTAAATACTGAAACATTCTGTTGGGTTAGGAATAAGTTTTTATTAACAAATTGTGGGTTGCCTTGAAACTCAGCTGACTTTTCTCCCGGCTGGATCTGTACTATTTTTAGAATACCTGTATTTGGGTGGTAACTAGGACCAAGCTTGCTAGTTACCACAAAATTCTAGTTCAGAAGGCAAAGTCTTATCCCAAATACTTTATTCTTCTGAGATTTATCAAAATAGCACTTATGTCCTATTGTCAATTCTGTGAAAATTTTGGAAAACTTGCTGCATAACACCCATAAACCTGAGAGCAAAATTCCAAGTAACCATATTTATTTGGAAGGGGCTGAAGCAGAGGGAGTTTGGGGAAGTTTGTGGAAGGCAGATCTGAAAAAAAAAAACAATATGCATTTTTAGCACAGACGAGAACTGGAGAAATTAGCTGAATTTTCAGGAGGGATTTCGAAAAGCAGCATTCTGCCAGGGGGTGAATAACTGCTCTGACATCAAGAGCAGAGAACTGCTCGGGGATGTGCTAACGTAGCTGCTTTCCTGGGAAAGGTTATGAACCATACTCCGTCTGGGGCACGGTTCAATAGCTGTAGCAGACAAGTATGAACCCGGTCGTAAAAGGAAAACGACTTTGACTCACAGAATGAGATTTTTGGGAGTCTGTGGCCGCGCTGCAGTGCCCTGTGAGGGGGCACGGAGGGCACGGGGCTGGCGGCGGGGCAGCGGCGCGGAGCGGGTGCGGTCCCCGCAGGGGTAGTGCGGCATCGCCCGCATCCCGCGGCATCGCTGCGGTTCCGCGATTGCGGCACGGCCAAGTCCGGGCTCGGGGAGACACCGACGGCTCCAGCGGAAGGGAACTCAGTGATCTCAGGGTCTTTTCCAATCGAATTGATTCTGTAAAGTGTCTCTGTGCTGAGCGTCCGGGAGGCAGCGACGGGCGGCGGGGAGCGGAGGGCAGTGCAGGGGCGGCACATGGGACGACAGAGGGGTGACAACAGAGGGAGGGCACTGCGGGCAGTGTAGAGCCGCGGGACGGGGCCGTGGGATGCTCCCCTCACTGCCCACTCCCGCGGCCCGGGGCGGTGCTGCCCAGGTGGCGGGGCCAGGCCGCTCCTCCCGCCCGGCTCGGGTTACCTGGGCGGGCCGGCCCGTCCCGTCCCTGCACGCCTCCCTTCCCGGCTGGTCCGGCCCCTCGACGGGAAGTGGGAGCGAGGGGCCGCGCTGGGGCGGCCGAACCATGGCTGTGCCCGCAGCAGCTCCGCTGCCCTGCCCGCTCCTCCTCGTCGTTTGCTGGGTGGTGGCCGCGGGGACGGCGGCAGGTAGGAACGGGAAGGGCTGCCGGGGAAGGGCTGCCGGGGAAGGGCTGCCGGGGAAGGGCTGCCGGGGAAGGGCTGCCGGGGAAGGGCTGCCAGCTGCGCTCCGTGTCCGCAGGCGCGGTGCCGGAGCTGGAGCGGCCGCTCCGGGCTCTCCCCTTGCGCGGTTCGGGCAGCTCGGCCGTGGCTCCGCGCACACGCGGGCATGGATGTAAGGGAAATGCTTTCATTTTGTAGTAGAAATCGCCCGAAGCTCGTCAGCCGTGTGCGAGGCAGCGCCGGTTGCGCGCCCTGCCGCTTGCCGGGAGTGGGGATGGTGAAAATCTGCTCTCCTCTTTCAGCAAGACAGCTCTTAACAGGATCGGCACAAATGTTTTAAGCTCTATCCTCGTTTCCCTAGACTGTTTCTGCCTTAAAACCCCAAGCAGGACCCTCGCTCTCCTCCCGGTGCCCGTGTCTTGCGGCGGTGCGGGAGCGGCTCCGCCGGGCGCGGACACGCAGAGCCTCCCTCGCCCTCTGTCTTCGCTCTTCCTTTAGTATTCCCGATTTTGGAAGCACGAATGTTTAGTTTTATGAAAGATGCCTGCGTGTCAGTGAGGACTTTATAAGGACCCGGCCTTGAAGCTTTACTCTCTGTTCATGTTATCCAGAAACCCAGCTGCAGACATTAAAGAATTGTTATGTCTGCAATTCAGTTTATCACTATGAAATCAACTTTCAGAAAAGGCAGGAGAACAAAAATGTGATGAGTTTTTTACTACTTTGCAACACTCACATGGTACTTGATGCAAAAGATTTATTGATGTTTCCTCATTAGGGCTTTTAGAAATAATACGTTTTCTATGCTTCACCTAATCTCTTCTGGCTACTGCTATGCTTTTTTTCTTAGAAGCACCATCGTGGTTTTGCATTTTAAGAGTGAAATAACGGCTTGCCTACATTTTGTAGTTGGTCATTGAGTTGTTCTGCAAAATTGCTACAGAAATTTTAATAATAAGAGCATGAGACTGTATTTTATGCAGACAGAAGTATGAGATTGGCCTAACTTATGAATAAAAGCTAAATTAAAAACATTAAAACACAAGCTTCAGAATTCTGTAGATCAATTGAAAACCTACTAGATTTAAACTTTTTATAACAATACAATTTAATAATTAATTTATAAACTATGAATACTAGCACTTCTTTGTGTGGCAATTAATCTGCAAACCTAAGCACAATGGCTTCTAATTAAACCTATTACAAGAAAATGTTTAGAACTTCAGAACAGCTATCAGGGATGATATTTTTAAAATGATTTGTGGCTGTTGTAGGTAAAAGTTCAATCATGACAAGATGGAATGCTTGGAACTGTGTACTCTTGTTGAAAAGCTTTTTTTTTTTTTTTTTACATAATCAAGAAGACACAGTATTTACAAACTTAATGCCCCACGGCTGTTCCTATATATATATGTTCCTATATATATATATATATATATATATCCTAAGTTTTTGTTAGTGGAAGGTGTAATAGGCTAAGATGTTCTTGCTACATTCAGTTTTCTCACTGGAGACTATATTTTTGCAAGAACAAAAATTTCTCTTTTCTGCTCTAACAAAAAAATCCCAAAGATTTTAAGTATTCAAACAAACTAAGTATATTCAGATTAAACCAGTAAATCTTTGTAATTATTTTCATTATCTGTGCATACACATGGATGGTAATGGTGCCTGATCTCTACCATTACTTGTCCTTGAACTATGCAAAGGACTGAGAGAGCTCCAGAAGTTTGATAATTCCCTTCAAGATTTGGCTGCTGTGGCTTTTGTGAAACGTAAGATAATGATGTCATGGATGCTTTGAGCAGAACTCTTGCTCAAGGAAGCTCTTTTGCTTCTCTATCTTCCCTCTTCCTTGTGCTAGCAGAAGGAAATGGGGCAGCACTGTGACCTGGATGGGAAAACTGATCTTGATGGAATTATTCTGCCCTTTTCCTATGAGCTCTCTTGAATGTTGGGATGGGTTGAGCTTTCCCTGGGACAGCAAGACCTGCAGCACTCGCTGATATCTGTTTGAAGTGTTTGTGAAACCATTGGGTGATGAGGGGACGCTCTGCCCACAGACAAGCAAGTGGTGGTGCCTCAGTGATGACAGCCTGAGAAACAGTCTCGTTGGGCTTCTGGTTCAGTAGATAAATATTATCATTTATCATAGTAAATATTAGAGTAGCCCTTTAAAAAACAAAATCAACTTTCACTTTCTTAGGGAATTCCCTTGGTTACGATTTTGAGAATCAATGTCTGATACATACTTTACTTTTTCCTGGAAGTTTGCCATTTTCTGTCATATTTCCCTTCTTTGTTTTCTAATATGACCTTCAAGCTGTTGTGATAGTTCTTGAGTAGGCGTTGACTCAGTGCACAAGATCAGAAGCAGTCAATGCACAAATGGATTTATTGCTGTGACTGTCTCTGAGTCATGGCCCTGCTCTGCTTCTCACTGGCTTTTGGGGAGGTTAAAAAATGTACCACTGAAGTGTCAGCAGTGAATTACCACTCGTCCCACACTGGTTTTGCTCACTGTGCTGGAACATAGCATTGTATTTTTAATAGGTAACTGAGAAAGTGGTGTGGTTTCCTTGTTTTTTAACATTCTTGCATTTGCAGTCTTTGCTTAAATTGTGTTTCTAACATACAGCTATTTGCAAGATGTAATCACTTGTCTTTTTAATGATTTCTTTAAAACTATGCTGATGGATAACTTTTGGGGAGAACAAAGCATTAATTGCTCCATAAAATGTATATATTGTTTTTACTAAAGTTTCAGCACATAATTCATTCTCCCACAACATGCAAAAGCTTAAGTACCACAACCACTGCATTGGTGAAGGCTACAATTTCTTAAAAATTACTTTTCAGTTAATTTGTGCATATTTAAATTATTAATGAGTTGAGGTAACAAGAATAATAGAAACACTTTAGTGGGCAGTACCTGATACCAAATATGAGCTGACAAAGCTGAGAAGTTATTTGTGCTCTTTTCTGTCTGAGTTAAAAATCCACCAGTATTACTAATGGTAAAGTGTGAGCCAACAGGACTGTTACACTGGTAACTCCTTTCTTCCAGGAGCAAAAATTCTTCCATCTCCATCCAACTTGAACTATTCATTTATCCATATCTGTACTCTGAACTGGACATGGAACCCCCCAGAGAACATCAGCAGTAGCTGCAACTTGGAGTATTCCAGTGACATCATCATCAATGGGGTTCCTGAGGACAGAAAAGTGAGTACATCACCTCTTTAAACTCTCTGTTCCAGTAAATGTCTTAATGCTATAAAACTCCCTGTGGGAGAGCATATACACATATATAAATACAATTTTAATGTAGCATTTTGTTCTTATCATGGGATCAAAACCTCAAAAATTAATCATACCAGCATAAGGGATCTTCAGAAAAATCTGTCTGTTGCTCTCTGATAACTGAGTGCTGATGGTAACACAGACTTACTGTAATAATAATGGGAAAAGTCTTGTTTCAGTCTTTGCTTATGCAGCTTTCTAGAAAAAATAGATATATGGCAGTCTACATCCTTAAGAGTTAAATGGGAATTTGCAAAGGCTTTTCTCCTTTACTTTGAACTCAGTTTAAAGACATGCAGATTTAGCTGTGGTTTGACAACATTGCATCTTTTGGAGGTAATGTCAAGAATTAACATTACCCCATTTACCCTCTGCCTGCAATTACAGTTATTTATGGCGGGGTTGTGTTTTGAAGATAACATGTAACATGTTTGTTGCCTGGAACAGAAGTCATATAACTCGTTTGTTTTGGACTTTCGTTTTCTGTGTTAGAAGGTTTGCAGCCCAGCTGTGCTCCTTGCTGTGGATTAGCTGCTGTTTGTTCGGGGTATTGCCATGGTGCCCATTGCTATGGGCTGTAGGACAAGCATACTTACAATTTATTGCCAGTAAGAAAATAAATCCGTAATTTCAAACCCTGGGAATTTGGAGCCTTTGGTAGATGCCAGCTGTGAGGGAGGCAGTGCTGCTATTTCAGATATGGTTACAATGGTTCCGATGCCTCTTGAGAAAGTCCTTTGTTGTTGAGCCCTGTTATGATCTTACAGCCTGATGCTTACAATGGCCTCTTCATGCTAACCACTGTATTTTTTCTCACAGCTCCAGGATATCCTGGACATGAGTAGGGATGTGGTTTGGCAGTTTGGATGGAGCATTGAGCAATCTGCTCTAGTGGAAGGCACGAACCCACGGCGTGGGGCTTGGAACTAAATGATCTTTAAGCTCCTTTCCAGGCCAAACTATTTTATGATTCTGTGACTCTGTGGTTTTGCAAACAGCTGAGCTGATTTAATGTCACTATTAAAAGGGTGATGTTTCATTTTGACACTAATGATCTCTAATAATTTTCATTGGACCTTTAGATGAACCAGCTGAACCTGCTAACACAGCAGAAACCTATTTACCTATTTTGATTGATTCATTAATAAACGAACAAGTAGAAAGTTTCCTTGGTTAAAGAGCTAAATGGGTTTGTGGAAGGATCTAACAGATATTAAGGTCATCAACAATGAAATAACTGAGGGTCAGTACTTTCACAGGACAGGATGAAACAAACTGTACATCTTGCTGCATCTTTTTGCCCATAGAACCTGTTGGAGGTTGGGATTTTTTTATTTTTTAAGGAACTTTTCTCCCATTTGTTGTTACGAGATGCTAACAACTGGTACTTGAGAGAGCCAAAAGAAGGGGCCAGGGTGGGGTGAAGGGGTGCAGCTGGCTGCAGCCCCTTAGCTGGGGCTTTTCTCTTGGGAAGGGCAGAGTTAGTTCAACATTTTGGCTGGGGGGTGAGGGGCCGGGAGTCGCTGTGGGAGGAATTCACCACCACTGAGGAATCCTGTCTCCCACTATTTTCTCGTGCTGTGAGTGAGGCCATTGAACTGGGACCTTATTAACACCTGATCACACTGGAAGGGACCCTCACCATCTACTCTGGTGCCTCAGGGAGAACCCGGGGCCCTGAGCCCCTTCCCCCTCCGAGGAGCCTCTCCCGGCCGTGTTTGGGAGCCGAGCTGCCGCTGCCCAGCCCCGCCGTTCCTCTGCCACTGCTCCGGGCTTTTCACTACAGTGTAACCCCACAGCCCCTGCCTACCCGGACACCCCGCGGCTCCTGCTACGGCTGAGGAGTTTCTGCCACATTTCGTTCTGCCACATTCCCCGGGGTGTGCCCGTCTCTGCGGCGCCAGCTCCGCTCCGAGCTTCTGCCGCAGCCCATTTCGCCATCCAGCCCGGCCGCCATCAGCGCCTGAGGGAGCCGCGGCCGCGCCACAGCGCCCCCTGCAAGCGCGGGGGAATCCTGGCAGCGCCCGCCCGGCCGGGAGCCAGCAGCGCCCCTGCCGGCCGGGAGCGGAACTGCAGCCAAGGGGAAGGTGCCGCAGCCCAGAGCGGCTGGGGCTGGCATTCGCGT